TACGCTCATATAAAATCAGTCTAGATTAATAAGCGAATAAATAACAAGGTCAAAGTATGGCTCGAGTAGAATGAATAAAATGTGATGTCCGAAAGCTAGAATAAGGTATATGGGCTTGGCATAATAACTGACACTACAATATGTTGATTTGTTTCTCCGATTAACAGACCATGTGCTACTAAAAGACTTATGTAATAATTTGTTTATTAATTGCGTATTTAGCATTAGACAACCGACCGAATTCAGTAATCACTATTATCAAATATTCAAACCCATTTTCAGTTCCTTTTTCACTAAACTTTCTTTTAGTGTGATACATATCAGTATTCGTGGCAAGATAACTAACGACTTCAATTAAAGGTTGACATTAAATCACTTGATCGGAAAACAAAAATTTATCCCAATACACATTCACTAACAGTAGGATTGCACTTAAGTTGGTGTTTTTTTCCTAAAATGTCTAAATTTCTTACAAGACTAAGATACACAAAAAGAATTATTCATTATCGTTAAATTTCAAATGTAATAATCTAAATTCTAACATCCAATCACAGCACTTGATGCTATTTCGATTTCAACTAATCAGATTACAAAGATGAACAGTTTACGACCAATCACAAAATGTTTGTTCATTATCACTTGAGCACACACTTGCAAAACAAGTACACCAATCACCGATCGCTAAATTTTTCTTTCACGCCATACAATTTTTTAAGAAATGGGTGGTAGGGAATTTTAATTGCAGTGGGCTTAATGTCAACTCAACCTGTGAAGCTAGATGATGTGGTTTTGACATCCACACGAAGTATCCTTTGCCCAATGATTGAATGTAAGGATTGCTGACAGATACCAGCTGGCATGAAATCTAGGTTGAAGATGAGTACACAACGAGCTAGGAACGCTAATTTTAGTCATTAGGTTAATATAAACCAAAAGTTGAGTAGAAAACAGTATGGAGGAACACCAACTTTATGAAACAAACTAAATTACTCTGTATAAATATGTTCTCAACCCATCTTTGATCTGTATACTGATACAAGCCTATCTTGTCGTGAACATATAAAGATGTGTCAAATAAATGTGTCATTGAAACAGTATTATCTTATAATGACTAATAATCATTAATTCATAGTCATGTTCAATCTCTATGATCCATTCACTTCCCTTTCCCAGTTTTATCTGATATACACGTGATCTATTGACTTAGTAGGCCTGATATAGATCACTCCCAATTGTATTTGCCTTGAAATATCTTGTGTGCATATAAATATGAACACACGACGGGATTTCAGCCTCAGAAAACATGTGAATTTAGTAGGGACTATTTTTAGTAAGAGAAAATAGAAATTCACGAATGTATTGAATGGTTACACAATTATGTAAAAAGTGAGCTTCTAAATACGATCATCCTTAGTTTGCAAAATATCAAATATAGGACAGTGCTAATTTTAAAATAGAGTATTTTTTCGAAAAACGCAGTTCATAAATGACTTCAAACGAGAAAAATGTATAGGAATTTTTATGAGAAGCTATAGTAATAGAATAGTGCACCGAAATACAACTGAACAATATTTCCCAACATAAACACAAAAATGATTGTCTTAACAATCAGACAAGTGAGCATGGAACAAATTACACAGTCCATTTTACTGGTGATGAACAAAGCAGGGCTGTTGCACTATTTATATGATTATATGAATCACTAAGAATTTTGATCTGAACAAATGAAACGACGCTGAATAAACTGGGCTTTTGGACAAGTTGTATTTTAATGTTCGCATAGTAAAATCGTGTTTCCAAACAGTCTGTAAACTGCAATGTCATTGTTTAAGTCAGAAGCAAAGCAGATATTCACCTATTAAGTTGAATGATAGTTGTATTGTACCATGAGCTAACATAATTTAAAACTGATGTAAAAGCAACATGCTTAACGTGAAATCTGAGCTTCAGCATTTCACTAGTGTCAGTCAGTCAGTCAGCTACAACGTAGGACCAGGCACATATATGCATCGGTCCAAGTTGCCATACCTCATTAACACGACAAGATGGACACCGGATTCATAAAAGTAGTTAATTCAATGGTGGTAATATATAAAAGAAAGATTGCAATAAGGATATAGTAAAGGAAGAAAAAATTAGTTCGTAGAAAGAAAGATATGAAGTGATTTCAATCTCTTAGTTTAAGGGAAGACAGGGAGTGTATACACCGACGCCATTGTGATCGATTCTGAGCCATGTCACCAAGAGTCTCCAACCATCGGTTACGATAGTCACACGGACACCAACCAAGTAGTCTGCATCTACCAACATGGCTCAGAATAGAAGTTATGTCTTCAGCACTGATGCCACGTTTTGGTTTGGCCGCCCCTAATTCTCTTCCAACCATCTCTAACACCCGTTAGCATTGCACGACGTGGTAATCGGTGTTCAGGCATACGCAACACGTGGCCCAACCATCTCAATCGATGAAGATTAACAACCTCATCAACTGATTTACCATCATTACTTAATACCCTGCATCTATCTAACCTCACTATTACTTACCCGGTGATCCCAACAGACGCCAGCAATATTTCTAAGGCATCTGTGGTCAAATACTAGTAGCTTACGGTGTCTTCTACTCTTAAAGGCCATGTTTCGTTGCCGTAAAGTAAAACAGAACAGACTGCCGCGCAGTATACTCGTCCTTTTATTGATAGACGGATATCTCGCCTTCGCCAAAGGTGACGTAAGTTGGCAAAAGCCAAGCGAGCTTTACGAACCCGTGCTGAGATTTCGTCAGACACCAACCCATTAGGGCTGATCAGACTTCCAAGATAAGTGAAGCTGTCGACGCGTTCGACTACTTCACTCCCTATCCTTAGTTTAGGTGTTGACGCAGGCCAGTCCTGAAGCAACAACTTACATTTAGAGGAAGAGAAGCGCATTCCAAACATTCTGGCATTGTTGCTTAGTGCTACCAAAAGACACTAATTTCATTAGTGTATGGGTAAAAGAGTCCCCTATGATATCACGAAACGTATTACAGCTTTTTCAACTAACGTCAGTTCGTAGTGAAAACCCTTTTTAAGCTAATCAAACTTCTAAAGAAACATTTACTTGAATAACAATTATCCTTAATTAACAGTAAACGTAAGGTGTTATTATTTGTAAAATATAAAAACTATCCTAAGATCATTGCAATTTACAGTAGATGACACAGGACCCGATCAGCACTAAAGGACTAGACGAACACTACATTGGTTTCAACTCAGTGACCAATTAATCATAAACGTCTTAATCTTACAGGAGGCCATTCTGCACCTGAACATCTCAGTAGTAACGTCTCAGAGTGTGAAACCGGATGAAGTGAGTTCGAGTACTGCAGGTAGCATCAGTTTTCTAACTCAAAATTCCAGATACGTTTTGCTGATAAACGCCGACTAGCAATAAACATGAGTGAAGCACGGCTTTTTGTCAATCAGTCCCGATCACCTGACATTTCAAGATACTACACGCAACACTAAGTCACCTAGACTAGCCACAATTCATCGATAGAGTTCTATTAGCGCTAAAGGACCGGACAGGCATTAAACTGATGGCTACTTAATTATCAATTTACAGTCTAAGCGTATTATTTCTAGATATAATATTTCCGACAAAGAATAACTATAGTGTGATATAAGGATGTTAAATTATAGAAGAATTATTGTGGAACACTGACGATAATTATCAACATGACTGGATAATCTTCTGAACTGGATTCCTATCGCTAATTAGGATCATTTGTATACATTAAGCTTCTGTAGAAAAACTGGTACTAGTGTGATTCAATATGCTTGGAGATTTTCAAAAATCAATCGGTCAGTCATCTGAAACGTAGGACCAGGCACATATGTGCACCGGTCCAAGTTGCCATACCTGATTGGCATAATAAGATGAACACCGAATTCATAGAAGTAGTTATTTCAATGACGGTAATATATAAAAGGACTGCATATAAGGATATAGTACAGGAAAAAAAGAATTAGTTCGTAGAAAGAAAGATATAAAGCAATTTTAACCTCAATGTTTAAGGGAAGACAAAGAGTGTATACACCTACGCCACTGTGATGGACTTTGAGCCATATCGCACAGTCTCCAACGATTGGTTACGATAGTCACACGGACACCAACCAAGTAGTCTGCATCTACCAACATGGCTCAGAATAGAAGTTAGTGTCTTCCAGCACTGATGCCACGTTTTGGTTTGGCCGCCCCTAATTTTTTTCCATCCGTCTCCAACACTTGTCAACATTGCGCGTCGTTGTAATCAGTGTTCAGGCATACGTAACACGTGGCCCAACCATCTCAGTCGATGAAGATTAACAACCTCATCAGCTGATTTACCATCATTCCCTAATACCTTGTGTCTAACCTCACTATTATTTACTCGGTGATCCCAGCAGATGAGAGCAATATTCCCAGGACATGTTTGACTGAATACTAGTAACGTACGAGTATCCTCTACCCTTAATGGTCACGTTTCGCAGACGTAAAGTAGGACAGAACGAACTGTCGAGCAGTATACTCGTTCTTTTATTGATAGATAGATATCTCGCCTTTGCCATAGGTGATGTAAGTTGACCAAAGCCGAACAAGCTTTTTGAATTTATGTAGAGATTTCGTCAGACAGCAACCCATTAGGGCTGATCAGACTCTCGAGTTAGGTGTAATTGTCTACGCGCTCGACTACTTCACTCCTTATCCTTAATTCAGGTGTTGACGTAAGTCAGTCCTGAAGTAACAATTTGTATTTAGAGGGGAGAAACTGTAACTTACAGTTATTTTAAATGAGAATCAGAATTAACACACTGATGCTCAAACTAATTTAATCAGTGAAATGAGTATTTACGCTGATGATTTTATGGAATAAGGATTGAAAACTTAAATCAATGTATCACAGGTTATCAAGAATAACAAAAATTCATACTCGCATAAAAATTGTATCAAGTAAACACTAATTTTAGACAGAAATTCACCTGGTAATGTCATGCAATAAAGTTGTTTCTCGTTTGCCATCTCTGGAAATATCTCTTTCTCAATGGAAGTTGGGCGTAGCTGAACAAATATAAGCAAGAATAGCTTATCAGTATTCGAGTTAAATTACACCATAAAAACAAAGTGTTTACACTTTGCACTGAACAACAAGTATCTAGCACAGTTAGATAAACATCGTTCGATAAAAAAAACTAGTGTTTGAGTGCCTATGTACTTCACAACATATGTTCACTGTTGTCGACCAGTGATATGCAACGTAGAGACTAGCACAAACGTGTATCGATCCAGGTTGCAACAGTATGAGGAAATCAGCAAGACAAGGAGAGAAGGAAATATCAATTGTAGCGGAGATTTAAGCATGAGAGATACAATTATCCAATATCTTCAACAATTCACTACAGCTATTGTACGGGCTCCAATCAAGAGGTTTGTTATTAAGGACATAGAACAACCCAATAATCAGTTACCTTATATATTGACAGTCGTTCCCTGGCATTTCCTGTGAGAGCATAACGCATCAGGATAAGTGGTAACTAGACATATGTTCCAACCACTTCAGTTTATACACGCTTATCACCTTTATCAACCAAATAACTATTTCCCTTAAAACTCGGACCATAATCTCAGCCTTACTAATCTGCACGTTCCGAAACTCCCGAGTAATGCCGTTTATTATTTAATTATAGAATACATCAACGAATGCATTCACTGAATAACCTAAAATTGTTCCTTTTTACCGAATTTCATTTTTGGCAGAGTGGGATAAAGCACTTTCATTTTGTATTTTATGTCATAAAGGCAAACAGTCGTAGGTACCTTAGTTATATGAAAGCAGATGTAAATAATTGTCGATTAGCAATTCCATCTTAGTCTACTGAACACTAAACCAATAAACTGATATTTTTTGTTAATATTAACACAATACCCGGTACATATTTGTTTGGTTGGCTTCAGGTCTTACTCCAAGTGTAAGGACCAGTAATAACAAACAGTTTTCCGAACTTAAGTTGTCAGATGGGAGTTCCAACCCAACTTAGTGACTTGAAGTTGAACACCTTAACCACAGGGTTATCCTTCTGAAGTACGGGTTTAAATATCTCAATAATAATAACAATGACTGTAAAAATGATTGAAACCAGACTAGATCGATAAACTAACAGATTTTTCTTACCAATGAATGATATATCCATGACAAAAAAACGAAATTTAAGGTAATAGTGAGTAATAATTATACAGAAAAATTTCTTACGGGGATCTTGTCAATAACACTAGGATTAAGTAAGTATATACCGGCATTTATCTTATTACCAACAAATTCAATTGGTTTTTCAACAAAACGATCCACACGTCCAGTTGTTTGATCGTAAACAACAACGCCATATTTTGAAGGTTCTTCAACTTGTGTTACCTAGTTGAAACCAAAAAAGTAGGAAACTCTAAATCGTTGGATAAATCACAGAAACTTTACAGTATGTATATGTTCAACATATAAACACCATTTTTCAGAAATCAATGCGCGAAAGAAAACTTTATAGAGCATCATTAATGGGGTCGGCAATAACAATAAATAATAGATCGTCCTAACTTGGAATCCTGAAGGGAAGTGGAAAAGAGGAAGGCCAAAGAACACATTACGTCGGGAAATAGAAGCAGATATGAAAAGGATGAATAACAACTGGAAGGAGCAGGAAAGGATTGCCCAGGACAGGGTTGGATGGAGAATGCTGGTGAGCGGCCTATGCTCTTTCACGAGGAGTAACAGGCGTTAGTAAGTAAGTAAGTAACAGATAAACCTGAATTTATATGCTACACTAGTAAGCAATGTATTTGCTTTCAACTTGATCATTCTTTCAGAAGATGGCCCTAAATACCCTGCCGCGGCCGTGAGTGGGGAGAGTCAACTCTTCCTCTCGAAATGCTCTCACATAGCCACACGTGTACAGCCACTGCCACGTAAGTTCTACTCACTGCATTCTCGCGGTATTACTATAGTCTACGAAATTGAGAAAACGAAAAGCGAATGTCCGATGCTTTAACCGGATTGGTGAATATAGAGGATCCACCTGAGGGAGTTGGAAAACCCTGATTCCGAACTAATGGTGCGCATAGGCTCCAGGATCCTAAGGTAACAAATGGCGTATGAACCTTTTGTTGGTCACCGGCTTCCATGGGACTGTATTTTTCAACGTCGCTATACTGCTTTGTGGACTAGACCTCTAGATTAAAGACTCAGGTAGTGACCCACTAAGGAAATCACCTGCTTCGGTTTAGGCAACCGGGAAGTATCCCAGTCCTCACACGAATCGAATAATGAAACGTGGCGCATACATATTTGGTGCTTCATTGTACTATGTATGTGTTTAAATAAATAAATAAAAATTCGAATGATTAATTTTTATGTATAACTGTACAACGTGATGAGAAATTTATTGAGAAAAGAAAATTCTTCATTTATTCAGATTATTATTAAAAAACAACAATACCCTATTGTTATATCTCGATGAGAATAATGAATGGTAACTTTTGGAACCCATTTATGGACAAATGCTATACGTATATTTCTATCGTATAATTGTTAAGTAACTAAACTATTCATATTCGTGTCCCTCTTATTATGAGCTTTATTTTGACCTATGAACTGTAATTATACAATTTACCATTCTTGAATTATGCCCTGTCTATTAATCACTACCTCCCATATTCACAGCCACTTTTGGCTAAATCTTGTGCAAATGTTGTTTCCTGTTTTACGGTACAATGTGGTCTGTTTAGTTTGTATATAAGCCCAGTATGTTTGAAATAAATGATTAGTATCGCAGAGGCTGAGATTGATGTTCTGGACTTAACAGGTGGGGGTAGGAAGGAAGCAGGACCGATAAAGACTCTAGACTGATCATCCTTGTTTTATGCGTCATTGATCCGGTCGATAATTCACTGTTCTCATATTGGCGGTATCATCACGTTATACATTAATAGGGCACATAGGCCACAAGTTATAACACCTATATTGTAAGAAATGTCATATTCTTCTATTATAATAAAGTGTCTATAGGCTATTTACTAATTTTTAGCGAATATATTAATTTTATATTCGTTTTAATTTAAACACATAACCAAAAAGATCCGCAAAAAAACAATACTGTGAACAGATTTTTAAAAATATTTACAAAGTTTTTGATGGTCTACATTTTTATAGATTGGAAGCATTGTTATTGAATTATGACACTGTCAATTGTACATAAATTAAGTAAACTACTTATAAGACAAAAAATATATACACGTATTTTCTGATGAAACTTATAGAGCAAAATATAATGCACAAGGAATACTTGAAAGTTAAAATGCTAAGTATGCTCTACAGCGTACATGTCAGGATATACATAGCACTATTACTCAAATGTTCCTGTTCACAATTAACTTCTTGATTCCTGTGATATGACAGGGGAAGGATTAGTTCTGACAGTTAAGCATTAATTCTATTTGAAAGTAAATGACTTATGGTTGCCTTATTTGTTAAATCACTTCTAATCATGTTTATTCTTGTGTTCAGTATTTTATGATGCAACAAAGTTATTTTGTTGGAAGAAAACCCTATTCTACTAGGAAGCTCTCTTACCTTTGGATATGAACTCCACTGAGTGCTTACATTAATAATTAGATTTCGCGAGCGTCAATCACTCGGCCACATCATGTTATTACATTTTATCTATCGATCATTATTTTTATTTTAACAATCGAGGATTCACGTGTCAAATTATATAGTTCTACCCCATAACAGACTGTCGACTTGAGTTTCAGTATTACGCCCTTGATTTTAAACTAGAAATATGTTACGAAATCTAAGCAACTATTTGAAAAACTCAGCACCGAGAAATATTCATTTCTTTAGAAAATAAAGAAGCGAACACATTTACATGAGGGAGAATTTATTCAGTAAACTAACCAAAATAGTTCCCGATTTTCCATGATTTTTATGAAATGCTATGATTGCCTTGAACGGGAAATCACACATGATATCACTGTTGAGCACAAAAAATGGACTATCGTCCACGAGGAGCATATCTTTAGCTAAGGCGATTGGACCAGCTGAAAAGCAGTAAATATATTACAAATGTTTTAGCGCATTTTAAATGTGGTTAATGATGGAATCCATGACGCATAAATTTTAGTTTATTTGCGACTCACTTGATATCTGTATCCCAGTGTCGGATTTTGTACTTATACTGGACAACAACCAACAAAAAGTGAACAGAATTCAATCCTGTATGGCGACAATGTGATCATGGAAACCCTTACAAATCGGTATTAGGCATGTGAATAAGAAGACTCTACTCACTTATCGTTAAAAATATTATTAGGGGTATGGTTTACTGAAACTATACTACCAGCAGCCTAACCTTTTAAATCCCATATCTTATTGAACAACAGATATTATTAATTATGCCTCGAGTTTTATTCTGATTCATTGATGTATACTGCATTCCAGAAACCTGTATAGACAACTAACGCGTGACTAATCGGTTATTTTACTGTCTATATTATTTTCTTACATCGTGTTTAGAAACTTCGCGTACGTAGTTACTAGGCTCTTTCAAAGAAGAAATTCCATTATTTAACCACGTTCTGGTATATTATGGTGCCACATTTGAGCGAAAAAATATCACAAAACTTATCTGTCGCCAACTGAAACCATTATTCAGCCAAATGCTGACTCCAGGTCTAAGAACACAAAGCATAAGCTTGACTTCGGATCTTCCCTAAAAAGTCAAACAAGCATATGCATCTTTTGCACACAAAATCCGTTCAATAGTATAGAGAAATTGGAGAAAATAGCAAAGAGCTCTTGAAATATTTAACAGGATTTCTGCCCATTAAATAAACATTGATGATTATCTTTAAAACGTTTGCCTGTGTAACGATTTAAGCTTAGCAACGTCAAGGTCAAGCAAGTAGTCAAGAAATATTTGGTTTGATTACTCATAACATTAGCAAAAGAAAAAGTAAATAATTGCCTATACCATCAGCTGACGTTAAAAGAAATTGGTGAAATGAGAATTTTTTTGGCACCTATCTCTGTATTATAATCAGGTCATCAAGCAGAGTGATTCAAATTCCTAGTTAAACTACTTAAGGCATTTAGATCAAAGCAAACAAAAATCAACATTAACAATACTTAGTGTTAGGATTAGATGTGCAAAAGAACTATGGAATCGCGTAAATATTCACACAAAGGTATTCAATTTATCAAGTAACAAATGATGCTTTTCTGTTAAGGCTGAGGAATTTCAAGTTAATAAAGTGAGACTTACCAGTTCCCATTGCTTCAGTTTCATAGGAGAATGTAATTTTAGTTCCAATCTAGAGTCATGGGACAAAAAATACACTAGTAATAATAATAATAATAATAATAATACTTGTATTGACTTAAGACTGGAAACTGTAACCAACTGTACACAATGTAACAAACTCATTCGTTAAAAATGTAAAACGGATGTGACATTTTAAGTATACATAAGTTGAAGATGTTTTATATCATAACCTGATATGAGTTAACTTATAGTAGTATTGCTAGGTTTGCATATCCAACCTTGATTTACCACTTTAGTCTGGCCAATCGAGCAGTACCATACTAGCTCTCTCATATGAAAAATGTGACCCAAATCTAAGCAAATAAACCTAGCCTTGATTATTAAGATACTTTAATTGTATTATATATTTTTTATTTTAAACATTGGGTCGTAGGTTTACAGTATGGTTTACATGGATTTTGGAGTACAACCTTCATACAATACGGCGAAATAAAAACTTCAGTCCCAATCTTGCATGAGTCATATACTTTCATCAGATATAGTCGTCAGTAGCTATTTCAACCAGTAAAAAGTATGTGAGAATAACCTTAACATTACACAGTACATTATCATCTGAATTAAACCAATAAACTAGTTATTTGTATAATGCGTAATAAAGTCGATCTAACAGAAATAATATTGTCATAGCTCACTATCAAAAATTCATGATAAATTATCTTACTTTCTTCTCATGCTTTTTTAACTCGTTTTCTAAGATATCACTTCGATCAGCACATTTGCTAACAGCTAAGATCACCTCTGATACTCCAACCTACAGAAAATTAGGAAAAGGAGAATTACAACGGGGTACAAATATGTTAATAAACGATATCAATGAACATATGAAGTACTAATACACAAACAACTTCATACATACGATAAACATGGAATGGGTCTAGTATCGCTGTATTTTGGTGGGGAAAACTAATCTTATATTTCATAAGAGATATTCTTTTAAAGTATGAACTAGCTGATGAATCGAATCAACTATCTGTATGTAAATGGAGACGTGAATTCATATTCTAGAGAGTTCTATCGCTTAGTGTTATATAATAACTATTTCTTAAGAACGATTACTTAGCCTGCATGCTAGGGAGACAGGCAAATGGAACCGAAAAATAAAGATGAGTTGGTCCATTTTTCACAACTGATTACTATCAAACTATAAGGAGAGCGACAAATTGATCACCAAGTTTAATGTATTCGACTAGGTTACATACTTATACAAGGAGAAGTATCTGCTTAACTTTAATTTACCAGAAGTTAAAATCCAGTTAAATAATTGGACACCACGAAAATGACTGCAAGACACAAAAAAGCGATCGCCGATGCTTGGATAGTAGCTGAATGAACGAACATTAACTTGCCCCTGAAAATCTATATTTTTATGTACTGTGCATAACTTTATGGCTCATAAGTTATAATTACATGTAGTCTACTGTACATAGTTCCAGATTGGAAAAAACATACTCATGTACCTCAACGCTGCCAGTTATTTATCCATAAACTCGGGGGAGAATATAGAAAAGCCGACAATAAAGATAATCCTCAAAATCAGGAATTCAGCTTCAAGCAATAATCGACGCCTACACAATTTCTTTTTGGAAAGTAGATAAAATTCAGTTGCTGAAACTGTCTAACATAAGAATACATCGACGATTCTCATGAAGTGTTCGTATATTTCTCATAAATTAGTCCCGACCGTTGCTGTTACCTCGACGTGTTGGTCGGGCTTGCTTATCGTAGTGAACCAATCAAGCTATACTGGTTGGAACAATCGTTCCTCAAGGTCCTACAATGCCAGATAGGTTGGTTGAAGAGCGGTAAGACTAAAAGCAGCAGGGGTGTGACAGCAGTAACGTGTTCCCTCCAGATAGACAGCACAACAGCGATTCCGTCTTCCCACAAGGAACGGTGGGGTTAGAAAGGTTGAACCTAAAGATATACACCTCGCCTTATCCCACGGATTTCAGTCTCCGGCGGTAGGGTCTCAAAAAGTACGGAGCTAACAAGAAAAATACTCAGAAAAAAATCGTGGGTGATCAGACTAAATCAGTTGTCCCTTGGGCACTGCGGTCACGCCCTCGGGTCACTAAGACTACCTTTAACCCTATTTCCTTTTCAGGTACTCCTATAGGAACCCTTTCATGGCGTGGGCAACCGGGATGTAATAATCATCCTCATACCTTTAACAACACTCAAGACAACTGTATTCACGATCGACTTCCTCCGTCAATTTCTATTATTACCCCTACCTCGACTTTCAACTCTAAACTTCCTCAAGTGTCATCATGGCCAACGATTCTAACGAGCAAAATAATTTCCAGAATCTACTGAAACCTCACTCGAAACTACACATTGGAGCATTCAACGTACGCACCCTGTGTCAAAGCGGCCAGTAGGCCTCCTTGACTAAAACCCTAGAATCTCGTACGATTGCTGTATGCTGTCTCCGAAACACGCATACAGGAACTTAGTGTGGTCATTCACTTGACCTTACCTCGCCAAAACTGAGAGTCGATGAGATACACCCTCAGTGTATCTGACGACCCGATGGCTAGTTCTCGTAAACTAATGGGTGTAGGCATAGCACTAAATACGAAGGCAGAACGAGCACTATTAGAGTGGATCCCCGTTAACAGTCGTCTATGTGCTGTTCGGCTAAACGGCCCCGTAAGAACTCAGAAGGATAGAGACACACGTCGTTGCCTTTTCATCGTCTCTGCCTACGCTCCCATTGACTACAGCCGGAATGAAGTGGAAGATAATTTTTAAAGAAAGCTTTTCGAACTTTTCAAGAAGCTAAACGTTCAGACATAGTACGCGTAGCAGGTGACTTTAATGTCCAAATAGGTAGCTTAAACCAAGCATGAAGACATTTAGGCTGTTATTTTAGTATTCCGGCTCAGCGAACGGATAATGGTAACTGTCTGCTCCAACTGTGCTCAGATAATCGTTTATTTTTAAAAGACATTTTAAGCATAAGGATAGACATCGTATAACATGGCGACTCGCTGCACCAAACCAACGATGGACTCAAATAGACCATATTCCTATCACTTATAGTTGAAGAGGGTCGATAGAAGACTGTCGCTCGTCTGGAGTACATGTTTAGACTTCGATCATGCTCTAATACAAGCACGCATTTGCTTGCACCTCACTGGATGTAGAAAAGCCATATTAAGACCCACTAGAATTGAACTGAGTAGTGAGAAAGTCGAAAGTCGATTCCAGGAACAACTGAGGTCACACTTAAGCAGTTCTGAAAACGAGGTTGATCCAGACGTTGCTTGGAAAGAAATGCAAACAGCAGTGATATCTATTGATGGTTTGGACCAAAGAGTCAAGAAAAACTAGAGGATTTCTACTAAGTCTATTGCACTGATAGATCCTCGTAAACTCACCCCCATCTGACTCTGAACACGATAAAGAGCGAAAGCGAATCAAATCTAGGTTAACCAAATGTCTAAAGAACGACCATGAGCAGTGGTGGGCAACGAAGACAAAAGAGATGGAAAAGGCAGCGGCTGTAGGTAACCCAAGACAGCTTTCCAGACTAATAAAAGAAACCGGAACTAAGAAGTCAAGTGTAAGTGAAACGATCTTGGAAAAAGACGACAATCTTATCTGCTCTCAGCCCAGACGTTTAGAACGATGAACAATTCAGCTGGCCCTCAGCTATTTTACAACTACCCACCATTTCTAATCAACCTGAATGAAATATTAAAGTAGGCCCCCCTCCCGACTCTGAAATTCAAAAGGCCATAGCTAATCGGAAACGAGGAAGAGCAGCTGGTCCAGATGCGTTGGTTCCAGGGGTCTTTAAGTATGGTGGTCCAGTTTTAGTGATTAGGTTGACTAATATTTTAGCTAAAATCTGGGAGTTAGACGTTATTCCATCTGACTGGTCACAATCACTGATTGTCCCAATATATAAGAAAGGGGCAAAACCATCCTGTGATAACCATAGAGGGATTAGTTTGACTAACATAGCATCTAAAATAATAGCCTCAACAATTATCGAACGCCTAACAAGGACTCATGAATTGCAAACACGAGAAAATCAGGCTGGCTTCAGACCTGGTTGTGGCTGCATCGACCACATATTCACCAGTCGTCTGATTTTAGAACACAGACATGCTTATCGGTGTCTGACAATGATAGTTTTTCATGACTTGAAGGGGTTTGTGGCAGTGTCATTGAAAGTCTTACCTCAGAAGTACATAAACCGTGTGAAGGCTCTGCTTTTACACTACCAGTCGGGTATGAGCTTATGCTCAAAATCGATCACCATGGCGTCAGTGTATACACTCTTTGTTTTCCCTTAAACAGTGAGATTAAAATCACTTCATATCTTTCTGCGAACTAATTTTTTCTTCCAATGGTTGAGATCATGAGTGAATTGAAGCTAGACCACTATGGAAAACCTGGAAGCACTGGATGGCCGTTTCGTCCTATTGTGGGACTCCTCAGCAGTGTGCTTCAATTCACTCATGATCTCAACTATTGAAATCACTATAATACCCGCAAAAACCCTTCTCTAGTTACAATCATCACATGCTCAGTAGTGAAGGTCTCCAAGAGGTATTTCCTGGAGTCCTAGTGAGAAGCAGTGATCAGTGGAGTTCAACCAGGTCTGTTGTGAGATAGTAACTCACTGATGACAATGGTGGATACGTCGCTTAATTTCGTGGGTTAGTTGAAGTTAGACATTAACACCGTTGGATGCCATCGGGCTTAGTGGTCTTGTGGTTAATCGCTTGCGCGCGAGACTGGTAAGTCTTGTGTTCGAGTCCCGCGAGGCGGGATCGTAGATGCACACTGCCGAGGAGTCCCACAATAAAACGAAACGGTCGTCGTGTTTCCAGGTTTTCCATGGTGGTCTAGCTTCAATTCACTCATGATCTCAACCATTAAAATTACTATAATACCCACAAAAACCCTTCTCTGATTATAATTCTTTCTTCCTGTACTATATCCTTATATGCAATCTTTTTTTTACAAATTAAAACCACTGAATTAACTACTTCTATGAATTCGGTGTTCATCTTGTTGTGTTAATGATGTATGGCAACTTAGGCCGATGCACATATGTGCCTGGTCCTACGTTGTAGCTGACTGACTGACAACTTAGTAGAATCTTTCCCAATTCTAACAGAAAAACTGCTCACCAGTGACCGACTTAGAAGAAAATTGTAGTGAGAAGTCATGATATTTGCACAAACCGATTTGTGCTAGAAATGTGTACTACTGGATTCCGAATCACTGACGTAAAAAGAAGCTGTGGTCTGCAATATTTAGCTCAACAGAATTCATATCAGAAATCCGCCTGTAGCTCCTCTAGAGTTACTGCCGGTCCCAAGCCCGGGTTCGGGAAGAGGGTTGGGCATGGGGTCAGCGACCCAATCCTGTAGAAAACTAACTCTCTGGAAAACGCTAACCATGAAAAAGAATTCAAACCATTTAAACTCTGCCCTGAGAACTATAAGGTCTTCATTCAGAAGAACTATGACACCTCATGGTGAAAGCTGAGTTCCTTCGGAAGCCACGAAGCCGATGCCCGTTATAACAACCAGAGCAACAATTTTTATAGGTATGTGAAACGTTCGGACAATATGGGAGACCTGGAAGACCAGTCAAATAACAACGGAAATGAGGAGATACAACTTGACGGTACTTGGGATCAGAGAAACCTATTGGACCAAAGCTGAACAAAAAAGGCTAAATACGGGAGAGATGCTGCTAAACTCCGGCCACGAAGAAGAAAATGCTCCACACACTCAGGGAGTTGCTCTAATGCTGTCCAAAGTAGCACGAAATGCACTTGTAGGATGGAAATCTCACGGATCCAGAATCATCAAAGCATCATTCAAAACAGAGGAGGAAATCACAACGAATGTTACAAAATGTTATGCACCCACCAACGATAGCAACGACGACATTAAAGATAAATTCTATGAGAGGCTGGCATCAATCATAGAGCAGTGCCCAAGAAAGGACCTCACTATTCTGATGGGAGATCTAAACGCCAAAGTCGGAATAGACAACACCAGATATGAAGATATCATGGGACGACATGTACTGGGAGAGAGAACAAAAATGGTGAGAGATTTCCAAATCTATGTACATTCAACAAATTGGTCATAGGCGGAACAGTATTTCCACACAAACGTATACACAAAGCTGCATAGATCTCACCGAACCACACCACAGAGAACCAGATAGATATTTGCACCAATAAAAAGTTCCGAAGGACAATGGAAGATGTGAGAACCAGGAGAGGAGCTGACATAGCTTCAGATCACCGCCTAGTTGTGGCCAATTTAAAACTGAAGCTAAAGAAGAACTGGACAACTGGACAAACAGCATTAAAAAGGTTCAATACAGCCTTCCTTCGAGATACCAACAAAATCAACGAATTCAAGATAGCTCCCAACAACAGGTTCCAAGCCTTACAGGATCTACTGAAGGAAGAAGAAACTACGATGGAGGACAACTGGAAAGGTATCAAAGAAGCATTAACCTCAACGTGTCAAGAGGTTCTGGGCCTCAAGAAGCATCATCCGAATTGACTACAATTAAGTGATGCATAAACTCAGGCTTCCTAATCATTCAATTTAGTATTTATCATTATGGGCCAAATTCATTGTTTAAGCAGTAATAGAGTTCTAAAAACTCACAAAAATTAATTTCAAAAATGACAAAATCAATAAGTCACATATTTTGAAAACAAATTTCCAAACTTATATCCATGATAAAACACAATCTTACTTTGGCAAGGGCTTCAATTTGATGTAGTAAAAGGGGTTTGTTGCAGAATTCCACTATCGGTTTGGGATAAGTTAGTGTTAAAGGCCGGAGTCGAGTGCCATAACCCCCAACTAAAATAAGTGCTTTCATATTGTTATATCAGTTGACCTTTTACAATAGAAAAATAAGCATGACTCGTTATTTACTGAAGAGAAACTAACTGTCTGCTTATCCAATTTTTTATGTGAGAAATATCTCGTTTCCTAAAATGAGATAGAACAGAAGCAACTCTAGGTTTGTGATTAGATTTACTACGTTGCGATAGTTACATCCCAGGGCGGAAGATTGTTTGCAGCGTGTGTTTCTGTTCCCCAAATAAATAGACGGAATAGGGGTTGAAATCATCATCAAAAATACCCTAATTTTAGGCATAACAATTCCATGAAACATTAAGGTGGATCGATGTACTGTATGGTTTGGCCCGTTGGATTTAGGATATGAAACAAAACAAGTTGCGTTGATGACTTAAGTGTTATAGGGAATTAGATGCACACTAAGCAGTTTATATGAAGTGTAGATACGTAGAAATCGAACAGTGAAGGGATATTTTTGATCGATCAGTGAGAATTATCTCAGGTAGACACTAGCTTATCAGTTGAAGAAGCGTGGTCTGTATTTAAAGGTTAGTTTAGTTTAGTTACGTCCTCGCTCACAACATACCTGGTACCGCGAAGACCGAATAACAGTCCACCATGTTCATTTCTACTAGCTAAGAACAATACAGATCCAGTTATTGTAAGATTAAGAATGTCTGTAAAGCGTTAATAAGTAAGAATAGAAGATCATACGAAAAACAATTGGTTAGGAATTCTAGATATAGCCCGAAACGGTTATTCTCGTATATAAAAAGGCGGACTCAGAGAAGCGATGGAATCCCATCACTTTTGATACAAGAATATCCGTTAATCTTGGCAAGAAATGATACCGAAAAAGCTGAAGCTTTATCAGAATATTTCAGTAGTGTTTTTTATCAGTAATGAAGAACGACCAACGATTCATTGTGATGGTGGTAGCTCGCTGATGAACCCTGTGGTGATTGAGAAAGGTACTGTCTTAAGGCTAATTCAGCATCTCAAACCTGATAAGTCCAGTGGTCCTGATGATATTCATCCTAGGATTATGAAAGCCATATCAGATGTGATTGCTGAACCATTAGCGATACTGTTTGACATGTCCCTGAGGCAGTCCAGACTGTCCAGAGACTGGGAAGATGCGATAATAAGTCCGGTGCATAAGGCTGAGAGTAGGGATTTAGTTAGTAACTATAGACCCGTTAGCTTAACTAGTGCGGTTGTAAAGCTGATGGAAAAAATCATTCAGATATCTGTTATAAACTATGTTGAAGGGCATAATCTTTTCTCCAGGGAACAACATGGTTTTCGGAGAGGCCTATCATGCTTGACAAACCTCATTGCAAGAGAAGATTGGGCTGAGACAAAAGATCGGAATATTCCTGTAGATGTGATATTCATAGATCTAAGTAATGCCTTCGATAAGGTCTCCCATTCTGGTCTTAAATCCAGACTGGAACGTTTTGGAATCCGTTATACAGTCGTAGATTGGATAAGTAACTTTCTCCATGACAGGAGACAAAGGGTAAGGGCTAATGGAGCTCTCTCCTAGTGGGTACCTATAAAAAGTGGAGTTCCCCAAGGTACAATCCTCAGTCCTCTTCTCTTTATACTTTATGCAAATGAATTAACAGCCGTAGCAAAATCATCTGTTCTACTCTTCACTGATGACAAAAATTTGAAGAACCATACACAGTATGTCGGATAGAATAGTATTACAGGATAATCTTAGCTCATTGGTGGCATGGTTGGACAGGTGGTCACTAGAGGCAAATCCTAATAAGAGTGTGGTGATGCAGTTAAATAACTATAATCAATAGTATCACCATACAATATGTGGATTCGTGCTACCCAAAGTAAGAAACTATAGTTTTAGGAGTCATATTAAGCAGTGATCTCAAAACGACTAGTCACTGCAAGGCTGCCGCTGCGAAAGGGTATTACGGTATATTCGTAGGTTTTTCCAGCATTTATATGACGAAATGTTTAAATTATTATACCCGACCACATTTAGAGTATGGGATTCGAGCAGCGAGTCCTTGTCTTAAGTACGAAGCAGATATGCCGGAAAGAGTCCAAAGACGAGGTACTAAGATGGTAAAAGGTCTATCTGGCCTATCTTATAAAGACAAACTGAGATACCTTCAGTCAGTCAGTCAGCTACAACGTAGGACCAGGCACATATGTGCATCGGTCCAAGTTGCCATACCGCATCAGCACACAAGATGAACACCGGATTCATAAAAGTAGTTAATTCAATGGTGGTAATATATAAGAGAAAGATTGGATATAGAGATATAGTACAAGAAAGAATTGGTTCGTAGAAAGAAAGATATGAAGCGATTTTAATCTCTTAGTTTAAGGGAAGACAGGGAGTGTATACACCGACGCCATTGTGATCGATTCTGAGCCATGTCACCAAGAGTCTCCAACCATTGGTTACGATAGTCACACGGACACCAACCAAGTAGTCTGCATCTACCAACATGGCTCAGACTAGAAGTTAGTGACTTCAAGCACTGATGCCACGTTTTGGTTTGGCCGCCCCTAACTTTCTTCCAACCATCTCCAATACCGGATAGCATTGCACGTCGTGGTAATCGGTGTTCAGGCATACGTAACACGAGGCCCAACCATCTCAGTCGGTGAAGATTGACAACCTCATCAACTGATTTACCATCATTACTTAGTACCCTGCATCTATCTAACCTCACTATTACTTACCCGGTGATCCCAACAGACGCCAGCAATATTTCTAAGGCATCTGTGGTCAAATACTAGTAGCTTACGAGTGTCTTCTACTCTTAAAGGCCATGTTTCGTTGCCGTAAAGTAAAACAGAACAGACTGCCGCGCAGTATACTCGTCCTTTTATTGATAGACGGATATCTCGCCTTAGCTACAGGTGACGCAAGTTGGCAAAAGCCAAACGAGCTTTTCGAATCCGTGCTGAGATTTCGTCAGACACCAACCCATTAGGGCTGATCAGACTTCCAAGATAAGTGAAGCTGTCGACGCGTTCGACTACTTCACTCCCTATCCTTAGTTTAGGTGTTGACGCAGGCCAGTCCTGAAGCAACAACTTGCATTTAAAGGGAGAGAAGCGCATTCCAAACATTCTGGCATTGTTGCTCAGTGCTACCAGAAGACTCTGCATTTTGTCAGCGTCTTCACCAAACAGGACTATGTCATCTGCGTATTCTAAGTCGATAAGTGGACCTCCTGGATGGAGATCAATACCCGAGAACTCAGTCGACGAGAAAGTTATTTCCATCAGTAGATCTATGATGAAGTTAAACAAAAATGGGGAAAGTGGACAGCCTTGACGGACACCACTTGAGGTTGCAAAAGTAGATGACAGTTCGCCATAAGCTCTGACTCGACTAGTAGTGCTGGAGTAGAGCCTTTACAAGGTTTATGTACTTCTGTGGTACGCCTTTCAATGACAGACACTGCCACAGAATCTCGCGGTCTACAGAGTCAAATGCTGCTTTTAAGTCGAGAAAGACCACCATTGTCGGACGCCGATAAGTATGCCTGTGTTCTAGAATCTTACGAATGGTGAATATGTGGTCGATGCAGCCACGACCAGGTCTGAAGCCAGCTTGGTTTTCTCGTGTTTGAGATACCTTAACTTATTTCCGTTATTTTACCGTAGAATATACAGTGGTCTCGGGTGCTGTTAGAGGTATGAGGGCGGTTATCGCTTACCGGTTGCCCACACCGAGGAAGAGTTCTTCTGGAGGTACCTGAAAGGACATCGGATTAGAGGTGGTCTCAGTGACCTGAGGGCGTGACCGCAGTGCCCAAGAGACAACTGCTTGAGGTCGGTCGCGCACGGCCTTTTCGTGGGAGGTTTTTGACGTGTTAGCTCCGTTCTTTAAAGGGCCTTACCGCCGGAGACGGAAATCCGTGAGGTAAGGTGAGGTGTGCATTTTTAGGGTCGACCTTTTCTAACCCCACCTCTCCTTGTGGGAAGGCAGCATCGCTGTCATGCTGGTTGTTTGAAGGAAACACCTTACTGCTGTCACACCTCTGTACAGTCAGCAGTACGACTTCGCCTTCGGACCTTGGGTTTGTTGCTTTTAGTCTTACCGCTCTTCAACCGACCTGTCTGACATGGTAGGACCTTGAGGAACGGTTGTTCCAGCCAGTATAGCTCGGTTGCTTCATCACGATAGGCAAGCCCGACCACCACGTCAAGGTAGCAACAACGGTCGGGACCGTAGAATATAGGGTGACTTAATATTAGCTTATCGTATACTGAACGATGACCTTGGTGTTAACATGTCTTATCTTTTACTTCCGTCTAGGGCTGATCATTTGAGAAGACATTCGAGGAAATTTTAAAAACCGAGATCGAATCGTTTACGTCTGGAGTTTCGTTTCTCGCAACGAGTAGTAAATTACTGGAATTCTCTACCAAGACACGTAATATCAGCACGTTTTGTTGATATATTCAAAACGAGATTGGACCTTCACAGTATTATAAATTGCAAGGATTAATATAAGTCGACAGACCTACCCTTATTATGAGGATTGAAGGTAAACGTGGAATGGCATAGTTGTCTGAATATATTCTAAAGTATTATAAAGACAATACAGTTTTATATCTTTTATGGACTATATATATATATATATATATGCGTGTACAGGGGTTGCTGACATGAGATTTAGCCAAATAGGAAAAAAGACCAGATATTCTGCTTTTTCCATGGGTGTACTTGAGAAAACCGTAACTGTCGTTGCTAATGAGATGGTCTGCTTACTAATATACCTGGGAGCAATACAAAAACAGGAAACTGATACTAATGACACATGAAAAGATACAGAAATGCTCGAAAGACGATAGACATCTATCATTGAAAATATGAAGCAAACCAACCCCGAACAAGGCGGCGGCCAGCAGAGCATTAAAATCGATACAGTTAAACGAATGTACTATATCATTTCACGAATAGCGGTTTAGGTACGAAACGTGAATTTCAGCTGAGAAGAGAGTGGAATAAATCCTGTCATGTTGGAAGACTGACATGATTTCGGTGTTTCTTGTTCTAATCCAATATGTGGGAGGATAGATAAAGCATATTGTTCTGTAACTAGTTTTTGGACGTAATAACTTTACCATCATTTTTAGAATTTACATTTTCTTGTTTTACCACAAGTGCGTTAGAATTTACTAAAGATATAAGTCTTGGTTCCAAGTCTTACTTTGATAATAAGCTTACAAATTCTGAATTTTATCTAATTATTATATCCACTTATGTTTATGTGAATGAGTTTTCTGTGAAATACATAATTTGAGTTTTCGTGTTCTAACACGCTGAACATAATGACCAGACTTTCCTGCATCCTCGAAGTTGTACGAAGAATAGTCATTCAAATTTACATATAGTGATGCATAGCAAAATTCATCTTGAAGTATGATCAATGTGTGTGTGGTGTTTGAATGAACCAATGATACCTTTGTACTTGTTGAATGCTTGATTTCGAATTCCAAATACAATACATTCGCTTGTGCTTGTGTCTTACTTCTTAATTCAATTGCGTCGCGATGGAGCCTGCAATGGAAAAGTTAGATATTCATTCAACTCCTGAAGCTTTTGAGGATTACTTGGAAAGGTTCGAAACCTGGAGCATGACCAAGAAAGATGTTAAAGGTGATAAAATTGTGGCACATTTTCTGACATTCATTGGGAGAGAAGCGTACAGCTTATTAAAAACTTTGGCATATCCAGAAAAACCTATCTCACTCCCTTATGCAACTCTTAAAGAGCTATTATTAAGTCATGTAAAATGCACCAGTTTTGAATGCCGTGAAAGGGCGAAGTTTCATAAGATGGTTCGTCAAAATGACCAAAAGGCTCGGGAATTCATCCTTGAATTACAGAAACAAGCTGCCAAGTGTAATTTCGGTGATCAACTTCATGTGCAACTGAGAGATCGATTAATTGCAGGAATTAACATACCGAGTTTGGAAAGAGAGCTGTTAAAATGCCAAACTGTTCCTTTCAAGATGCTAGAACTGCGTGTATTAACTACGAAGCAGTCAATGAACTTGATATCCAGTCGATGAAGATTTCTAATACTTTGCTTAGTCGTCGTGATGAACTACAATCTCAGGGTCAATCAAACTTGCGTTCATTTAACAGTGATTCCTATTCTCGTGTAAATATGAAAGGTGTTTCAACGAGGAATTACAAAGCAAATCACAAAGGTGAGATGAAGTTTGGTAAATGTTTATCATGTGGAAAGTTTCATGCTCGCAATTCATGTGTATTTCGTAATGCTAAATGTTTTAAATGTGGTAAGGTAGGACACATTCAGTCAGTATGCAAAGCTACTGTCCATTTTGCTTCAAGCTGTACTAAATCTTGTAATTTAAATTTCAATAATTCGGATGTTTCTAGTGATCATTTATCTTTGTCTACTATTTCGAAAGGTAATGCTCATATTCAAAACGACTATATACATCGCTTGGTTCATTTCATGACTTTATTCTGGACACAGGCAGTATAGAGTCCATTATTTCATTCAAGAACTTGAAATCTTTAGATCCTAACGTTGTTGTACGACCCACTGAAGTATCAATATTGGGGATTACTGGACACAGACTGCCCATACGAGGATGTTGTGAATTGCTAATAAGAGATGATAATTCTTCATACATACCTTGTGAATTTTTAGTTAGCGAAACAGGACTGTCAATTTGGGTTTAAAGAATTTGAAAAGGCTTAAGGTGGAGTTGTCCTTCTTAGTTTCTAAAGAAAATTCGGATACTTTACTTAAAGATTTGATAGCTATGTGTGCTAAGTGCAGTGGAGGTATGAAAATTAAGCCTATAAAACTTCAAGTACAGGGTGATCCAGTCTTTCTTAAAAGACGAATAATTCCTTATGGTCTTCGAGAAGCAGTACGTAAGACATTAAACGATTGTGTGAAAGGCATAATTGAACCAATTCAGTCTTCAGCATGGGGTACTCCTATCGTTACGCCACTGAAGTCGGACGGCAAGACCCCTAGAATTTGTGGTGACTATAGATTAACTCTGAATTCCCGTTTGTTGAAGCAAACGTGCACGACGGTAGAAGCTGAAGATATTCTAAATCGACTTCATGGTTCTAAAGTGTTCTCGAAAGTTGACCTAAAAGATGCTTATCTTCAAATTC